AGCGAGACAGAAAGGACAGGAGGAGAAGCAGTACAAAGAGACAGCGAGAGAGCAGACAGAGACGGAGGAGAGCAGTATCATGAGGACTCAGGAGAGAGCGATGGTCGCGACATAGGATGAACGGAGATGAGCAGACAGTGCAGACGCTGAGACGGGTAGCGAAGTAACAGAGATCGGGAGAGGTAGGCAGCGACGACCGAGAGACGCGAGAGCAGCACAGACAAGAGACGGCAGAGGAGCAGACAGCTAGACGGAGAGAGCGAGGATCAGAAGCACGCGGCAGGAGGAACAGAACCAGTGAGCTGGACGAGGAGGCGAGGTACAGGTGATCGGATGAGATGCTCAGGGCCGGCTCACCAAGGCAGACGAACGGGACGAAGCAGCCTAGAGAACAGAGACGGAGAGAAGAGGAGAGCAGAGGAGGTAGAAGAGAGTAGAGACGAATTGGATGTAGAGAGAGGATGAGGAATAAGAAGACGACATGTCGAGAGAGGAAGGACGCGTAGAGCAGACACGAGAGAGAGAGAGACGAAGAGAGAGAGACAGAGTGAGAGCGACAGTAGAGAGAGAGACAGAGAAGAGAGAGACAGAGAGGAGAGAGACAGAGAGAGAGAGACAGAGGAGAGAGAGATGCTGAGGTATGTAAGAAAACGAGATGAAGAAGGGACAGATCAGTAGAGAGCGTAGGAAGCAGGAGAGGTAGCAGAAGGAAGACGATCGGGAAAGACAGAACAGACAGAACAGAGTCAATAGAGCTTTATAGGCGATGGAGAGAACAAGAGAGAGAGAGAGAGACAGTAGAGAGAGAGATGAGACAGAGAGAGAGAGACAGAGAGAGAGGAGACAGAGAGGAGAGAGAGAGAGAGAGAGAGAGAGAGAAAGAAGAGAGAGAGAGAGAGAGAGAGGAGAGAGATGGCGATGGAGGGGGGAGAGGAAGAGAGAGAGAGATGAGAAAAGAGGAGAGAGTGATTAGGAGAAGAGAGACGAATGAGAGATCAGAGGACGAGAGAGGAGTCGAGAGGGAGGAGAGGCGACAGAGGCGGAATGACAGGCGGTTGGAGGGGAAGAGAGGAGAGAGGCGCACGCACCGCGCCATTAATTTGAGGAGGCAGCAGCGAGCTAGGGGAGAGAAGGGAGGAGGGAGAGGGAGAGGCGAAGAGGGAGAGGGGAGAGGGAAGAGGGGAAAGGGAGGATAGATGGTGATGCAGGGAGGAAGGGGAGAGTGGGAGGGAGAGGTGAGGGGTTGAGAAGGCAAGGGAGGAGGAAGAGAGGGAGAGAGAGGAATGAGAGAGAGAAGAGAGAGAAGAGAGAGAGAGCAGAGGAGGAAGAGAGAGAGAGAGAGAGAAGAGAGAGAGAAGAGAGAGGTCGAGAGCGGAGACAGAGGTGAACAGAGACAGAGACAGTAAAGACAGAGACAGAGACAGAGACAGAGACAGAGACATGAGACATAGAAGACAGATGACAAGAGACAGAGAACAAGAGACAGAGACAGAGACTAGGAGACAGAGACAGATGACAGAAAGACAGAGACAGACAGAGACAGACGACAGAGACAGATGACGGGAGAGCAGACAGAGAAGGAAGAGAGAGCAAGTCAGAGAGAGGAGTAGAGGAAGCAGAGCAGATGATGAGAAGGAGAAAGAAGGACGAAGGAAGACCGAGAGAGAGACTAGATTGAGCAGAGTGAGAGACAGCTGGCAGGAGACAGACAAGAACTAGGTACAGGACAGGTACAGGATCCCGCAGGAGGAGAGTAGAGAGATGAGAGAGAGAGAGAGAGAGAGACGAGAGAGAGAGAGAGAAGAGAGAGAAAGAGAGAGAGAGAGAGAGAGAGAGAGAGAGAGTATACACGAGAGAGCAGAGACGAAGGAGAGAGAGAGAGGAGGAAGAGAGAGAGAGAGAGAGAAAGGAGAGAAGATGAGAGATGAGGACCAGAGACAGAGAGAGAGAGCAAAGCAGAAGAAGAGAGACAGGAAAAGTAGAGAGCAGGAGCAGATGAATCGAGGAGAGCGAGTGATACAGATGAGAGAAGAGGCAGCGAGACAAGGATGAGGAGAGAGCAGCGCAGGTGAGTAATCAAGTATCTCAGATCATGGTAGAAGGTGACTGGACGCACATTGATGCAGTGGAGAGGGACACTGCGTTTAAGTGTCCTACATGAGAGAGAGGCGGATTGGCAGCTACTGTGGGAGGCACTGATGAGTCGAGGACAGTGGAGATGAAAGTGAGAGGAGCATCATAACGAACCAGCCAGAGGAGCAGAGGCAGAGATACAGTACAGGTGTAGAGTATTGGTGGTGGGCGTAGGTGAGCATGACCCAGGAGAGCTGGCAGAGGTGAAGCGTAAGAAACTGGTAGAGCAGTGCTGAGAGCTTGACAGAGTTGAAGAGGGAGGCAGAGAGGGCGCAGGTAGTGCTATAGATTGGAATGACGTGTCGCCGATGGTAAGAGAGAGAGCAGAGACAGAGAGCGAGTAGAGAGAGTGCAGAGTACCAGGGTCTGCAAGAGAGAGAGAGCAAGACAACACGAGAGAGACGAGCAGGACAAGAGAGAGAAGAGCAGAACAGAGAGGAGGAGAGAGAGCAAGACAGAGAGAGGAGAGTGCAGAGCAGAGAGAGAGAGAGAGAGCCAGCAGAGAGACAGGACAGAGAACATGCAGACCAGAGAGACATGGACAGAGACAAGAGAGAGAGAGAGGAGCAGACAAAGAGAGAAGGCGACAAGAATCGACCGGCAACGTGGAGACCGAGAGAGATGAGCAAGAGGAGCGAGAGGGACGCGAGGAGCGCAGGAGCGGATGAGAGAACGGCGGCTGTTACCGCAGAGATATTAACAAGCGAAGCGTGTAGTAGAAGAGAGCGTAGAGTCTAGAGAGTGAGGAAGCAAGGGGAATGGACAGCTAGGTTGAGAGGGACGAGGAGGAGGTGAATCAGGAGAATCGCTATAGAGGAGGAGAGAGGGGAAGAGACAGTAGAGCAGAAATGATACAGGAGGACACTAGAGTGACATGAGACAGGAGAGACAGAGTACAACGAGACAAGCAGACAGAGACAGAGACACGAGGACACGCACGCCACGCACGCACGCAGAGTGAAGGAAGGTGAGTGCAGTGAGTAGCATAGAAGGTGATCGTTTGAGAAGTGTAGGGTGGGTGTGGAAGGTGTAGATTCCCTGCGTTTCGAGTGTATGTGCCATGTCGGGCCAATAGTGGAATGATAGTGACGAGTTTGGTTTAGAGATCATCGATATTGAGACCGGAGCGATAGTTGAGGTGATCTGCGATGTCGGTACGTATAAGATTAGAGTAAAGCTAGAAAAGTCTTCCGAAGAGCAGAATGGAAGCGCGCGATGCTGAACCACGGAGTAGGATGCGAGATAGTGGAAGAGCTATAGGGCGTCGGTGTGATTAATGGCTCTGAAGTTGTGGTTGGGATAGTTTCTGCGATCGAAAGGCTATGCCGTAGCAGGAGTGACCGTAAGAAGACAGATAGTAATCTGATGAGCTGGCACAGACCATAGAAAGCCGTAGGTATATGTATGACAGCAGAGGGGTGAAGCGGATGAGTGTGGCATGTAGGGTAGAGTGTGAACAGGACGCCATGGACGTCAGGTTAGTATTGACGCTATCTGGAGTAAAGTTTAGGGGAGAGTCATGCATACGATCCGGATCGGTTATGCAGTGACAGCAGAGGAAGGATGAGGCCGTGGGAGCGAGGCGAGAGCTCGAAGGAGGGAGAGGGAAGAGGGAGAGGGACACGGAGGGGAGAGGGAAGGGAGAGGGGAGGAGGAGGGAGGGGGAGCGAACGGGAGGAGGGAAAAAAGGAAAAAAAAGGAAAAGGGGAGAGGGAGAGGGAGATAGCGGGGAGAGGGACGAGCGGAGGGAGGAGCAGGGAGAGGGAGAGTGCGAGAGGGCAGGGGAGAGGGAGGCAGGGATGGAGGACGGAGGGAGGAGGGAGGCGAGAGAGGGAGAGGGAGAGGAGAGGCGCGGTGAGAGGGAGGGCCAGAGGGAGGGAGGGAAGGAGAGGGAGGAGAAGGGAGGGGGAGGGAGGGAAGAGAGAGGCACAGAGAAGCAGGAGAGAGAGGAGAGACAGGAAGAGAGAGAGAGAGAGAGAGAAGAGACGAGAGAGAGAGAGAGAGCAGAGAGAGAGAAGACGAGAGAGAGAGAGAGATAAGAGAGAGGAGATGAGGGAAGAGCAAGAAGATGGGAAGAGTGAGACAGAGAGAGAGTTGGAGAGAGGAGAGAGGGTCGAGGAGAGGCTGAATAAGTAGTGGTTCAGTGTTTAGACGTGTCTGGAGTAGAGCGGGCGCGGACTAGTGCGAGTGGCAGAGTCGATAGAGCATGCAGCGTTGTGACGGGCCGGGGGAAGTTACAGGGATAGTTGCTCGGATGTCTGACGGGTGAGAGTAGAGAAGGAGATTGTTGTATTGATAGTTTGTAGTGGGATTGAGGAGGGCAAATGTAGTAAAGGTCGGACATCTGGAGTAGGGATCACAGCTTGCGGGCATTACGTGGCAGTAGTGCTGGGAGGATATATACAAGGCGGTTGGTGGCACTTAGTAGTGAACAGGCAGGCATGTTACTCAGATTACGCGAGCTGTTCCAGTAGCGGGTGGCCAGCAAGTGAACAGGCCCCATTGTATCTGTGCAAGAATAGGTGGGTATGCGCGTGGTTCAGAACGATGGATACTGTATCATACCTCTCAGACCTGATGGCGAGGCAAGGGTATGCGTGAGTTGTACCAGCGGAAATGTGTCCGATCGAAAGGATAGAAACGTATACAAGTATCGTAACAGATAGGGAGATGTGAGCATGGATTTGCGCTAATCATACACTACGGTGCAGTTTAGTATATTGAGTGACATGATGTTATGGGTGATTACACGAGGTGGTGAGGGATGAGAGGATCGGCGGAAGGAGAGGCACGACGCAACGAGTGATGGGAAGCGTAGAAAAAGGAAGGCTCCACGAGATGAAGATTATGGATTGCTAAGAAGGTCGGGATATTGACATTGTGGAAAGGAGTCGGAACGTCCGGTGTGATAGGCGGGGTCTAGGATAGGAGAGAGAGGACGAGTGTCGTGAAGGATGCCGAGAAATACTGCGTTGTGATATAGACGAGGAGCACGAGACCGGACTGAGAGATGCGCAGGGGAGCTAGAAGGATTGGCGGCGAAGATGATCACGGAGATGAAGAGAGAGACAGAACGATGGGAGGATGATGAGAGACATGAGAGAGAGGGGGAGAGAGAGACCAAACGAGGGAGGGAAGAGCAAGATCGAGAGAGACTATCGATGGAGGGAGGGCGGAATGTATGAGAGAGACAAGAAGGAGATGAGGGGGATGGGAGAAGCAGAACAGGAAGCGGATGGGATGAGAGGACGGAAGAGTACGATAGGAACATGAGGGGAATGCAGTAGAGGAGAAAAAAAATATATAAACTCGGAAGACCGAAAATAAATGAAAGGAAGTAAACCCCGCGTGAGGGAAGAGAGAGAAGACAGAACGATATATCGGGGAGAGAGGTGAAGACACAGAACAACAGGCGGAGAAAGAGATCTACAGAAACGAGGGAGAAAGAGATGAACACATGAAGCAAGAGGGAGGACGAGAAGAGAACGAGAACTGAGGGAGGGGGAAGACAACTACGGAGACGATTGGGAGGGAAGAAGAAGGAGCGCAGGGAGGAGAGTAGAAGAGACAAGAACCATGGTGAGTGCTATAGGCTACCACGAAGACACGCGCAAATACGAGAGCAGAGAGTAAGAGAGCAGAAAGAGAGAGAGAGAGAGAGGACAGAAGTTAAGAGAGATAGAGAGAGAGAACGCAGAAAAGAGAGAGAAGAGAATGACGAGACAGAAAAGAGTATGAAGAACCCAGGAGGACAGAAAGAGAGAGAAAGAGAGGAACAGAAAGAGAGAGAGAGAGAGCAGACAAAGAGAGAGAAGAGAGACAGAGAGAGAGAGAGAGAGAGACAGAAAGAGAGAAGAGAGAGAGACAATGTAGATCTAACCCCTTATGAAGACCCCAGTAGTTCTAATTTATGTATTTTCACCAGCAACCTATCCCCCAGGTTGAGCAAACCCAAATGTGTTGCAGAGCAGATCAGTTGCTTCTGAATGACTGCTTACCTCCATGGTGTGGATCGTTTGGATACTACAAGTTATTCTAGCTATTGCTTTTGAAATTCTCACTGTTTTGCTTCAGCATCATTTATTCACTGTCATAAAAAATATATAAAAATGCAAAACCAATGCCATTTTTAACGCACAAGCTCTGCACTGACAAAGGTTTAGCTGATGCACCCACAAGCAGGATTGGTCTCTTACATGTATTCATTATAGACTTCCCGCTTCGGCAGAGACACCTCACTGTTCATCTCCAGGTGAGTCTTTATCCATGTTATTGTGAGCTGAATTTCACAGCGACTCCCAAGAGGATTCAATGGTCTGTAAAAGAGAACAACGATGAAAAACTTGGTTAAAAAGGTCAAAGGAAATGGAAGGACGCATAATAAAAAAGAAGAGACAAGTAGTTAGTGCATTTGGGGTTGTATATTTAGCAGGTTCTCAGGAACAGGAGAGGAAGTCTTGAAAAATTAAAAAAGGTTTTGTATAATAAAATCCCATGCCATAGTAAAATAAGACAAAGGAACACATTTCACATATAATAATTGTATACCACAGTTTCAATTCCAACTTCTCATAATCAGTAATAAAATAATTACTTCCTCACCAAAAAAAATCCAACAAAATGAATCGTAAATAAATCCAACAAAATGAATGGTAAATAAAACCATCAAAATGTTTTACTGTTTGTTGCATATCTTGCATATTTGTACTGGACAAGTATAATCCTTCATATTCAAGTTTTAAACAACTTTAACCATGTATTGTCTACACCTTAAAAAGCAAGTATGATTTTGTAAATAGCCATCCTCGTGCCATACTATCTGCAAAATTATTTTCAATTGCATTAAATTCAGAAATCTATTATATCCACAATGATATACATCTATAACATCCTTTCCCACAAAAATAAAATTTTTGAGGATTAATATTCAGCAAGTACAATCTGCTTTGTTCAAGAGGTGTAGTTTAGTAAATCATTATGAATTAATGATGCAAGCATAAAAGAATCAGTAAAAGAAATGCTTATTTTTGCTGATTTTGGGATGACTTACTTTACATCAAATCCAAAACAAATAGATAGTTGTAAGTAACTTAAACATAAGAGGGAATTGCATAATCTAAAATGAATCAAAGGGGGTTGTTAGCCCACAAAGACAAGTCAGGGAAAAATGGTTACTAAAAAGCAGTGGAGTGAAATCACAATAAACTGGCATCAACAGAACACGTCATGGATCAAACTCACTGTTTCAAAGGATCGGTGTCTGGAGAGCGTCCCACAGGAAGCTTGAGGTACAACAGGAACTTCTCTACATCCGACAGCTGTCCCACCTGCTGCACCAGGCTTTCCACGTGACACTTGCTCGGCATGCTGCAACAAAGATCAAGTTGGAGATATGAATATCCCTGGACCCAGAAAGTATAGACACATAAAAATGAGAAAAGCTAAACTGGTTTACAAAATATATTAAAACAATAGCAATGATAAGAATAACATCAATATTAATAATATTAATCAATAAGAACAAAAACCATCTCTAATGGCCCAAAAGCCAGTATCAAAATACATGTATACATCATGAAAAAAGAATTTTCTAGCTGACCCGTTTTCTATGATAAATTGCACAGGGTCTTTGATCCTAAGCTATATATGGATCAAATTCACCATTAAAATCTAATGAACTAGGCCAGTGGCCATGGTCTTCCAACCTATAATTTTTCTAATGACAAACCACTAAACCAAGAGACTAACTGCATATCTTTTTTCTGCTGTTTGCTGGAGATGATTCTGGTGGTTGTGATGGTGGTTGCGGTTGTGATGGTGGTTGCGGTTGTGATGGTGGTTGCGGTTGTGATGGTGGTTGCGGTTGTGATGGTGACAATAATAATAACAACAAAAACCGCAATATCAATAATCATATCAAGATCAACAATGATGCAGATGACAAAAATGATAATGATAAAACAAAAACAATAACTTATAATGAAACTAGTATTAGTTTTGTTGTTTGTGAGGCTATGCTAATATCATAATGCTTCTTGGACATTGAATTAAGAAAATGATGTTTATGTTCTCGCTAATACTATTTGCGAATTGCAACCAAACTATAACTTTCGAAATACATAAATACATCCGTCTCCCAAACCAATGTTTAGTATCAGTCTCTGTAGAAATATCTCTATGGGTGGCAAATGCAATTATCTTCCTTATCAGATACGACTGTGTCTGTGACCGCGATTATGCGTGAGCGTTACTGGGTACAATCGAGCACCTCTTTGTCTTTGTCTCAACAAGTTTGTTTGCGTATAAAAATTAGCATGCTGGGAAACCCGTCAGGATCAAACAATCAATTTCGCCGTCGAGCCTCGCTAAAGGAACTCCACAGTGCCTGGCCGTCATTCGAGGCTCCTCATGCTTCCTCCGTCCTAACATGCGGGTCTCTTGGCGTCGATTTATCGAATATCTCAAGAAAGTGTCAACTCGAATGTTGCGGCGCCCTCGCGTCCTTTATTCGACGACATATCTATTGGGCTACAGCGCTGACCATCGCAAACAAATACAAAACTTAATCTCTTATTCACATCCATATGCAGACGACAAAAGTTTCTTCTAAGAATACCGAAGAGCTTACCATCCGTTCTTTATAACAGGGGAAAAATGATACGCGACCACACAACCTTTTCGCCACAGCGCCATCGCCCGAATGTCACACAAAAAGGCCTATCCCGGCATAGCTCATCGGCTCTCCCTCCGCCCTCGAGTCCCTGCCGGAGACATCCCGAAGTGACCCGATGGGCATCTCGCCGCCTGCCCAGAGCGGCCGCTACGTAATGTAACTGTAACCTCACACCTCGGCGACGCACACGTTACCTTCTTGGTACAAGCCACTCGCAGCGTGGGCGTCTGCTCGCCCGCTGCCTGCCCCCTACCCCATACCCCACCTCCTTCCCCTTACCATCCTTTTACCCATACCCCCTTCTGTCTCCTATCCACAGCCCCCTTTCCTTGCCCCACCCATCCCCTGCCTTGCCCCCGACCCTCACCCCTGACAACGTGCAAGGAATATCAATGCCCGAGAGGATGGGTGAACACTGCACAGGGTGCACCATCATGCTCACATGGCCGCCCGCTCCTGACCCAGCCCTGCAGGCACTGGCTCGCCCCTCGCCCGGCCGGGGAAAGGGGAGGAAGGGAAAGAGACCAGACGGAGACACACAAACATGGGAGAAGTGCAAGAGGAGGCGGAGGCGGAGGGGAGGAGGAGGAGGAGGAGGAGGGAGGAGGAGGAGGAGGTAGGTGGTGGTGGTGGTGGTGGTGGTGGTGTGGTGGTGGGTGGTGGTGGTGGTGGAGTGGTGGTGGTGGTGGTGGTGGTGGTGGTGGTGGTGGTGGGTGGTGGTGTGGTGGTGGTGGTGGTGGTGGTGGTGGTGGTGGTGGTGGTGTGGTGGTAGTGGTGGTGGTGGTGGTGGTGTGTGGCAGTAGCAGTAGTAATTGTAAGTAGAGGAAAAGGGGCAAGGAAATAAGGAGCAGAAATTCAAATTAAACTTACTTTATTCCATTTGTTACAATGTTTATTCTTATTATATATAGTGACATTACAGTACATATAAATATAAGTTCAACATAAAATCAATGGTAGTTCATATAAATCTCTATTCTTATATTTTGAAGCCTGAGGTGATAGGAAATTTTAAGATTTTCCTTTATTTTTTTATTTGAGTTCTGAATGTTTCTTATATGACGAGGTAGTTGGGTATCTGTAGGGCTCCTATGTCTGCACGTGATCTTTTGACATATAGGGAGTTAACCTGTCTTGTTTGGACACAGGTTGTGTTACCTACAGTTGGAAGGGTTAAATGCCATTTTGGATAAAAACCTTGGATCATTTTATGAATTAGCATGCAAGCACCATAATTGCATTTGTGTGGTACTTGTAGCCAACTTTGTTTGTTTGTATGTGGGGTAATGTGGTCATACTTCTTTACGTTACCAAGTGCTACTCTGGCAGCAAAGTTTTGTAATCTTTGAATTGTATGAATTTGACCTTTGTTTGTTGCACCCAATATGTTTGGGCAACAATTAATTATAATGAAAAGTAGTGTTTGCATAACAGATATTCTACTTTCAAGAGAATTTTTTTTGGCTCAGGTAAATTAGTGCATCCATTACTATTCTGTCGATGTTGTCGCTGTGGTTCTCAAATGTCAGGAGGAGGAGGAGGAGGAGGAAGGAGGAGGAGGAGGAGGAGGAGGAGGAGGAAGTGGCGGAGGAGGCGGAGGAGGAATGGCGGAGGAGGAGGAAGGAGGCGGAGGAGCAGGAGGAGGAGTGGCGGAGGAGCAGGAGGAAGTGGCGGAGGAGGCGGAGGAGAGAGGAGGAGGAAATGGCGGAGGAGGAGGAAGTAGTGGAGGAGGACGAAAGGAGGAAGAGGCAACGAAGGAGAGGAAGAAAGAGGCAGAGGAGGAGGAAGAAGAGGCAGAGGAGGAGGAGGAAGGAAGAGCAGAGGAGGAGGAGGATAAAGAGGAGGAGGAGGGGGAAGAAGAGGCAGAGAGAGGGGAGGGGAGAAAGGAAGAGAGGCAGAGGAGGAGAGGAAGAAGAGGAGAGGGGGAGGAGGAAGAGAAGAAGAGGCAGGAGAGGAGGAGGAAGAGGAAGAAGAGCAGGAGAGGAGGAGGAGGAAGAGGCAGAGGAGGAGAAGAAGAGGCACAGAGGAGAGGGGAGGAAGAAGCGACAGAGGAGGACGAGGACGAGGACGAGGACGAGGAGGAAGAGGTGTAGGAGGAGGAGGAAAAATAAGAAGAGGCAGAGGAAGGGGTGTAGGAGGAAGAGGAAGAAGAGGTGTAGGAGGAGGAGGAGGAAGCAGAGAATGAGGAAGAGTAGAAGTAGAAGGAGAAGTGGGAGGAAGAGAAAGAGAGGGAGGAGAAGGAAGAGGGATGAAGAGGAGGTGAGGGGGAAGAGAAAGAATAGAAGGATGAGGAAGAGGATGTGAGAGATGGGTGAAAATGGAGGGAATTTTTAAACAGACAGAGAAATAGCAGTAACAGAGGACACAGCGAGAACACGCAAAGAGAACAGAAAAGGCAAGGGGCAGAGAGAGCAGGCCAGAGAGAGGAGAGAAAAGGCAAGGGGCAGAGAGAGGAAAGAGAAGGCAAGGGGCAGAGAGAGCAGGCCAGAGAGAGGAGAGAGAGGCAAGGGGCAGAAGAGGAAAGAGAAGGCAAGGGGCAGAGAGCAGGCCAGAGAGAGAGAGAAAGGAAGGCAGGAGAGAGGAAAGAGAAGGCAAGGGGCAGAGAGCAGGCCAGAGAGAGGAGAGAGAAGGAGGGGCAGAGAGAGAAGGCAGGAGGGAGAGGAGAGAGAAGGCAAGGGGCAGAGAGAGAAGGCAGGAGAGAGAGAGGGCAAGGGGCAGAGAGAGGAAGGCAAAGGACAGAGAGAGAAGCCAGAGAAGAGGAGAGAGAAGGCAAGGGGCAAGAGAGGAGAGAGAAGGCAAGGGGCAGAGAGAGGAAAGAGAAGGCAAGGGGCAGAGAGAGCAGGCCAGAGAGAGGAGAGAGAAGGCAAGGGGCAGAGAGAGAAGAGAGGCAAGGGGCAGAGAGAGGAGAGAGAGAGAGAAGGAGGGCAGAGAGAGCAGGCCAGAGAGAGGAGAGAGAAGGCAAGGGCAGAGAGAGAGAGGCAAGGGGCAGAGAGAGAAGGCAAGGGGCAGAGAGAGAAGGCAAGGGGCAGAGAGAGCAGGGCAGAGAGAGCAGGCCAGAGAGAGGAGAGAGAAGGAGAGAGGAGAGAGGAGAGGAGAAGCAAGGCAGAGAGGAGAAGCAAGGGGCAGAGAGAGGAGAGAGAAGGCAAGGGGCAGAGAGAGCAGCCAGAGAGAGGAAGAGAAAGCAAGGGGCAGAGACAGAGAGAGAAGGCAAGGGGCAGAGCAGGCCAGAGAGAGAGAGAGAGGCAGAGAGAGAAGGAAGGGGCCAGAGAGAGGAGAGGAGAAGGCAAGGCAGGAGAGAGGAGAGAGAAGGCAAGGGGCAGAGAGAGGAGAGAGAAGGCAAGAGAAGAGAAGAAGGCAAGCAGAGAAGAGAGAGAAGAAGAGGGCAGAGAGAGGAAGAAAGCCCAGAGGGCGAGAAGGCAAGGCAAGAGAGAAGAGAGAGAAAGGGGCAAGAAGGGCAGGCAGAGGCCGGGGCAGGGCAGGCCAGCGAGAGAGCGAGGGGCCAGCCGCCTCCCCGACACTCCCCACTGCGCCACCGCCTCGACTTTGAAAGAGAGACACGAGACCAAGGAGGGGGTAAGAGAAGGAGAGAGGAACAGGGACAGGGAGAGAGAAAGAGAGAAGAGGAAGGAGGAGAGGAAGGAGGAGGAGGAGGGGAGGGAGGAGAGGAGAGAGAGGAGGAGGAGGAGAGGAGAGA